GTACCAAATGAAGTCTGTGTACCTTATTCTTGCATTCTGGGCTTTATCACCTGGCTGATCACCCCCAAGTTTTGTAAATCAATTTACTCTCCCACCTCTGTGCTGTTTTTCTGCCTCCCCTTCCCTCCCCAAATGCCCTTTCTTCCTGGGCTCATCTTATGTCCACCTGCTATTCATGAGTTAAGGTTCAGCTCAAATGACACTTTTCCCGTAGCATTTTCCCTGATTCCTTTACCTGGAGGCCTTTTCCTCTGCCTTGGATGCCCAGAGCATTTTATCCACACCTTCTGGAAATACCACTTGGAACGCTTGTGTTCTAGTTGCCCCACGAGTCTGCCTGACAGTCTACCAGCTTCCTGAAGTTCATATCTGATTCAGCTTTGCACAACCCCAACTGTTTTGTGTGTGTATATATATATACAGGAAAAACAGTAAGGTAGAACAAATGAAATTATGTTTTAAATGGCCTTTTTTATGCCACCAAACTGTCATTGTCAATTCAGAATCAAGGCAGGTAATGGAAATAAATGGACAAAATTAAATAGGTCCACGTTTTCTTTCATGAAACCCCCAGAGATACTGATCCAGAATATTACTGTGATTATCAATCTAGTTCACGAAACTGTAATTAGCAAGATAACTAACTTCAAAAGTGTAAGAATCAGCGATAGCTAAATATAGGTGAGCTTCCACCTAACAGAGTTAGCTATACTCTTGGCATGGTGTTTTATTTTTAGCAGACTGTATTAAAAAACATAATAGGAATGACACTAGCATTGCTGCAAGAAAAATGAAGAAATTTCACAGGATTATCAAGGGACACAGAATGGAATAAAATACACAGTTTCTAACAGCCATAATAAATACAGAAAATAGCAAAGGGACAATTTAATGATTTTTAAAACTCATCAGAAGAACAAAATCTATGAATTCCCCTAGTCAAACAGTATGTATGCTTAGTAAATCTCTCTCATGCTTGTGTGATTCTAAAAATTATTGATTTTTTTTTTAGTTTCTATTACAGAATGGATATAATATTGGGTACCCTTTTCAATACTTTAGATTATATATGGTATTGCTTTAATTTTTAGATTCCATTAACTTTCTTAGAACATCTATTTTAAAAATACCTTTAGGGCTTGCCAATTACTAATAAAAACCGTAAGCTTTATATTTTCTCAGTTTTGTTTTATATCTTCCCATGTAACTTTTCTTTGAGCTCCACTGCTCTAGATTTTAAATTTGTAAAAGAAAGTTCAACCACTTTCTTAAGTATTTTAATAATTTAAGGTGAATCTTAACAAATACCAGGAGGCAAAATATGCCCAATCTAAGCTATTAGCTATGAGAAACTTTCCCTGAAGCTTTTGGTGGAAAGGAATTATAGATACTATAAGATTTCCATTCCAGAAAGAAATAGAGTTAAAATAAGGTTGCTGAAAAAGGCTGCCGTGTTCTCCCAGAAAAACAATAACCAGGAACATTTACGATATATCATTTTATCAATACCTGTGGCTGTAATCTTCGAGGCCCAATTCCAGAGTAGAATGTGGTGCTGGAGAAGGTGGAACTTCACTCTCGGCCCATCCGTCATTGGGCAGCAATAGGTCTATAAACAAAGAACAAATGAAGCTGTATAAAGTGGGAGCAGAACCATTCAATGCCTGGTTTGGTTTCAGTCTCTCTCTCAGACACAGTTTTAACCAACACATAAACCAGCCCTGAAATAAATAAGTCCTCACACAGAACTGAGGGATCCTTATGAGGATGAATACCGCTTGTATGAGGAAATCTAAGCCTGCTAATATGTTTTTACACTAGTGACCTGCTGGCAACCCCCAGCAAACCCACTCCATGTATCTTGACTACCTTTTCCCACCAACAAAAGGCTGACACAAACTCATTACCTGTGATTTATGGAAAATGAACAAAGTCATCTCTTTTATGCCTAATCATTTTTGTAAACAAGACTCTATCGTGAACACTCTGGATTATATGGTGATTAATGCATTTGCTTCAGTAGCAAAAACTTCTTTTAAAAAATCATGAGATATAGTATATCTACTCATCATTTAGATATAGTGGAGGTAAACACACACACACACACACACACACACACACACAGACACACACACACAGTGCGCACGCTCTCTTTTTTTCTCCATCTGTGCCATAATGGAGACACCTGAGTTTAAGGCCTTGAATCGAAGAGACAGGGATCTAAATCCTGGTTTTCCCACCTACTAAAAATATATACTTCTGCAGTCTGTTCTGTACTGGAAAAATAGACATGTACCCCTAGCATCACCATAACTAATAACAAGTAAGGTTGTTGAGATCTTATTGTATAGCAGATACTCTACTAAGCCTCGTACATCATTTCATCGAATGCTCATAATTACTAACCATATTCACTAGTCTATGCAAAGCATTATAGAACATTCTGGCTAAGCGTATGGTTTTTGGAGCAAGGCTGCCATGTTTCCAACCCTACCACTATGTGAACTTGACAAATTACTCAACTTCTCCAAGCCTCAGTTTTCAAATCCATACAGTGGCAATAAGAATACCTTTACTGGAGGAATATGAGAATTAAATTATACTTAAGCAGTGATTTGTAAATGCAAACTGTTAAGTAAACATAAAATTATTATTCCATAGATTGCAAATTCTACTGTATACATATTACAGTGACATCTTTGATAAGACATGTACCTGATTTGTCCCTGAGTGACAGAATAAGAGACAAACTTCTCTATCCTTGAGAACTGCTGTTGGTGACCCAACCTGCTTTGGCTTGTCCACATGGCTGATGTATTGGTTAAGTTTATATGTCAACCTCACTGGGCCACAGGGTACTTAGATATTATTCTGGGAGTTTCTGTGAGGGTGTTTTTAAACAAGATTTACATTTAAATCGGTATACTGCCTCTCTAGCGTGGTGGGCCTTGTCTAATCACTTAAAGGCATAAATAGAACAAAAAGACTGCCTCTCTCCTGAATAACAGTGAATTCCTCCTGCCTGAGTGACTTTGACATGGGACATTGGCTTTTTCCTGTCTTCAGATTCAAAGGAAAACAGCGGCTCCTCCTGAGTCTCAAGCCCGTTTGCCTTTAGACTGAAACCATACCATCAGCTTTTCGTCTTCTCAGGCCTTCAGACTCAAACTGCACCATCAACTCTTCTGCAACCCCAGCTTGCTGACTCACCTTGCAGATCTTGGGATATGCCTGTCTCCATGATCATGCAAACCAGTTCCAATCTGTTTTCTCTCTCTCTTTTTCTCTCTCTCTCCCTTTCTCCCTCTCTCTCTCTCTGTCTCTGTCTCTCTCTCTCTCTCTCTCTCTCTCTCTCTCACACACACACACACACACACACACACACACACACACACACACTCTGTTTCTGTTTCTGGGAGAACCCTGATAAATACACTGGACAAGGAATTGGTCCAAGCTCTGCCCTGGGCACTAGACTGATGTGGAGGTAGTTGTTAGCCATGCTGACATGCCCCTGGGAATGAACCAGGAAGCAGATCTGCTAAGGAGGTGACCAGGAGAAAGGAGCACAAAGGCAGCCCGAACTGTGCCTCTGCACCACCTCCACCCCTAGGGGCCCCTTGATTTGGTAGTGGTGGCAGCAGTCAGGCATTCAAGACTTGCTAAGAGAAACCGAGCAGGAGGACTTTCACATAAATTGGGGACAATGGACACACTGGGACGACTTCCTTTCTGCTGACTCTCATCTTCTGTCCTCAGCCTCGGTCCATATTCCATAGTGGTGGTGAACGTATTTGTGATCAGGTAACATGTGGCTCAAAATCACTTCAGATGCACACATCGCTTATGGAATAAACATCTATGATCCTGGTAAACAACTTTATCTCCCATTACACATTAGCTTACCATTCCCTGACCACACCCTGGGTGTTCCTGCCTTAGCATCTTTGCTTATATAACTGCAAAACCTATTCTACCTGTGAAAGTCCTATCCTTCTCCCAAGGTCCACCTCAAATATCACCCTCACTATGAAGTCTCCACTGTTGCCAAGGATCTGTCACTTTTATAACAGTGGCAGAGAAGACTAGTGTCCCTTGGTGCCCTTCCTCTCTTCCTGGGCATACAGCTGGACATCAGTGCTCTGATCTCTTTGTCCCTAGGCTGGTTCTTGCAAATGGAATGGGGGCTGCTATGATAAATATCATTCCCAGTCTCAATGGTTATGAGAGGGTGCACCTTCCTCACTCTCTTCCTTTCCCCAACTCCATCATCTGAAAGGCAGGTGACGAGGTGCCCAGCCACCAATGGAAGGAGCCTAGGTCCTACAATCACTGCATGGAGCACAGCTGCCAAACCTCGTTGGGCAGTGATACGACCAAGAAATAGACTTTCACAGTCTTTATCGATCCACTGACATTTTAGGTTTATCTGTTACTTAATATTATGTAAAGTAACTTTTGGATAACATTTATCAAATGCCACTTATGCAATGAACTATGTATTTATTGCTCTATAGTTCTAATAAAAACTATGTATATATTTATTGTTTATATATCTAGCTATTATCTATTTATCTATGTCTATTTCTTTTACTAGACTGTAGATAACTTTCTCCTCTTGTTCCTCTTTCTCCTTTTCCATGTCTTCTACAGCCTATTCTCTGGTTATTTCAAGTCTGATTACAATCATAAACTTTACTTTTTATGACACTCATGTGAACCACTTATATGTTTTATTTGTACGTGTAGTGATAGGTGCAGAGGAAAGTATCTTATTTGTTGAGGTAGGTATCTTATTTGTTGACTCTATCCTTGTTACATTTTTTATACATATTCATATGCTGTAAGGAATTTTCATTTCCCTTGGGACCTAAACACCTTTGTTAAGCCCTTGTTTCAGTGTAAAAGTCTGGAATTCTTTTCTCCTATAATATTATTTCTGGATTTCATTAAGTGTACAAGGTACAGTCTTCTTGATGGTCATTTCATACATATCTATGCCTGTGAATGTTGACAGGGCACCCTCTGGTCATTACTTCATTGATGGCCAAATGGCTCTTCTTTTTAATTATCACCTTTTGTTGTTATTTGTTTTGTGGGCTCTATCCTACCAAGGCCACATCAGAAAAGAATGGGTAAAAAGAGATCATGACTTTAGACAAGAGGTCAGCAAGCTATGGCCCTGGTCCAAAACCAGCTTGCCACCTGCCTTTGCAAATAACGTTTTACTGACAGCCATGCTAATTTGTTTATATATTGCCTATGAGTGCTTGTGCCCTACAATGGCAGGGTTGAGTAGTGACAGAGACCTACAGTCCAAAACATGCAATATTTACTATCCTGCACCTTAAGGACAACGTTTTTTGACCCGTTTCAGACGATTCTTAAGGACAATAATAGCACTGCATTCATCTTTGCACTCTCGATAGTGTATTCTGCACACTGGAGGTACCCCATAAACATTAGCCAAATTGGAATGTATAATTCAATCTTGGACTGCCATTCCAGAGGCAGTGCTTTACATGCTATAGAGGGATAAGTACATACTGGTTCCCAGGGAGATACACATTAGAAATAATTCTCCTATGATGTGTCTCAGAGGACCCCAGGGAATATGGATCCACTGAGACAGGTCACAAAACCACAGTATTTGATTTGAGATGGAGATGAAAGGTCTCACTCAGTGGGTGATGCTGGGCAGACTAGGGGGGCAGTGGGTGCCTAAGACAGGAGTGCACTTGAACTGAAAGGAAGAAGCAGGAGAAGAGCTATATTGGGGAGACAAGTGCAGTGACATGAGAGGAATACTAACCAGAGGCAAACTGCACAAGGCGATTCCTTGGCCCAGGGTAAGATCTGCCAGCAAGATTCCTCAGAAAATACAGTGTTGGTGCATTTCATTAACATTCAAATGCTTAATAGGATTTTATAGTAAACCCTTGGGACACAACTTCTGTCCCTATTACCATCTTGAAGCACCACACTTATTTCACTACAGGCATTGTTAGCAATTCTTCAATACAAATGTGAATTTTCTGGTGTTACAATTTCAGACATTAGTTCTAAAAATGTCTTTTTCTCTGTGTAACAGCTTGAAAAGAATTTAAAAAAATGAAATAACCAAGAACTGTGGGTGGTATGTACTATTATGACAAAAATAAATGGAACACAGAATATCAACATTGGATTTTTAAATATACAAAGGAAAGGAAAAAGGAAAGAAAAAAAGGTCAATGTTTTGGCTGCAACGGTTCCTCTCCTCACGAAACATTACATTTTGTCAAGTTAATCTTGTTTTTCTAAAGAAGGTCCTTGAAAAAAGTGGTAGGGGCAGTGGAAGGTCCTCGTAAAACTGGCACTGAGGTTTTATAAGCCTTAGTGGCCTGCTACCACCTGACACGGTTCTGAAACTCAGGAACTCCCAATAGTTCCTCAAATATAAAATGTCATTAATATTACAAAGAGGTGATGGTCATGATAGTCTTTTATAGCATCATGTTTATGAATTCTGTGGTAACTTTTTGGTCTCTAAATCAACAGGTTTACATAAAAAGTAAGAAAATTTCATCCACTGGCCTCTAACAATGAAAATGTAATGAGTCTGTGTTTTGATAGGCCTAAATCTTATAATGTGGTAGTGTAGCACAGATCCACAAAGAAAATGTAAGAATAGATTTTCTCTACTTTTGAAAAAAAATAATGTTTAATGGAGTAGCTTCTTAAAGTAAATAAATTTGTTAGGTTAACTTGGAAAATTGAGGTGGGGAAGAAAGAGAAACAGGAACCTTGTAGATAGTTAATTTATACGGTTTTTTTTTTTTTTTTCCCACTGATCTAAAAATTGTTCTACCTAAATCTATGCCCTGGGAAGAAAAGAACAGACAAAATCTCCCTGTGGTTGTCTGGGGCCACTTGTGCCCAAAGGACTATTTGTACAGAACATACACTGAGCCTGAACATTCTACTGATGTTCCAAGGCAAATTATTATCGTATTGTATTTTTAGCATGTGCTTGGAATGGATTGTATTATTTAATATTTTTTCTGCGTGTATCCTTACACTTTAACTACTTCTATGCTTTCATTAGTTTTGCCTTTGCTATTCTTTGCAGAGATATTATTCCATTTACTTAAGTATCTCAATGTCTTCTGAAACTACATTGTGTATCACCTCAAGAATGAAAGAGTTGTATGTCACTTAGTGAGGATAAGTGGATAAGTTCTGAGAAAAACGTCCTTAGGCAATTTTGTCCTATACCAACATCATAGTATACTTACTCAAACCTAGAAGGATTAGCCCACTAACCCCATAAGCTCTGTGGTATAGCCTATTGCTCCTAAGCTACAATCCTGTACTGCATGTACTGAATACTAAAGGCAATTATAACACAGTAGTATTTGTGTATCTAAACAGAAAAGCTATAGTGAACATACAGTATAAAACATAAAAATGGTACAGCTGCATAGGACAAGTGACATGAATGGAGCTTGCAGGACTGGAAGTTGCTCTGGGTTGAGTCAGTAAGGGAGGATAAGTAAATCTGAAGGCTTGGGAGGCTGCTGCACACTACCGTGAACATTACAAACACAATGTACTTAGGCTATACTAAATTTATAAAAATACTTAATCTCAGTAACTGTATTACTTTATACATTTTATTTTTTTTACCTTTTTGAATCTTTTGTAATAACAGCTTAAAACATAAACACATTGTACAACTATAGAAAAATATTTTTTATTTATATCGTTATTCTATAAGCTTTTCCTATTATACTTTTTTTTTAACCTTTTAAACTTTTTTGGTAAAAACTGAGACACAAACACACATTAGCCTAGGCCTAGATAGGGTCAGGATCATCGATATCACTGTCTTCTACCTCTATATCTTGTCCCACTGGAAGGTGTTTGGGGGCACTAACAGGCACGGAGCTGTCGTCTCCTGTGATAACAATGCCTTCTTCTGGATCCCTCCTGAAGGAACTGCCTAAGGCTGTTTACAGCTACCTTTTTTTTTTTTTTCATAAGTGCACTCTAAAATGATAATAAAAAGTATAGTATAGCATTAGGAATTTTTCAGCTCCATTATAATCTTATGGGACCACCATGATATATGTGGTCTGTTGTTGACCTGTCATTATGTGGCACATAACTGTATTTTATAGATATTAACAATGAAAGGAAAGGTGCTTACTGTTCATTTGGGTGTCATTGGTGTAACTAGAAATTAAACTCTACACTTAGATAGGTACTGGGTCACATGTTGCTAGAGAATTAAATGCCAATCAAGTTATATAAAGGCTAGGTATTTTAATACAAAAGTCCACATTCATGATCTCAAGGTAGAAAGAAGGCTGTTTTATTTTGCAGAACATTTGCTATTCCTTTCTCAGGCTCTTTTCCTACTGCAATTTAAGATTTCAAAAGGCAATTTTGTCCTGTCAAGAAAATTTTTTATTTCTTTAAGATGAAAAAAGACATGCTGAGTATTTTTGTATCTGTATACTAAGTAATGTCAGCTTCTTTTTTTTTTTTTTTTTTCCTGCATAGCTGGGATTACAGGAATGTATCCTCAAATCTGGCAAATTTTTTGTATACCTTTTTAGTAGAGACGGGGTTTTGCTGTGTTGGCTAGCCTTGTCTTGAACTCCCAAACTTAGGTGATCTGCCCACTTCGGCCTCCCAAAGTACTGGGATTACAGGTGTGAGCCACCACACCCAGCCTAAATCAGCTTCTAATGGGCATTCTCAGTAGGTGAAAGGATTCCAGTGTTTCAAGAGACCAATGTAAGTCAGACCCATGCTGTGGTTTGGGAGACAAACTGAAGTCAGGGAGACAAGAATTGAATCGAGACTGCATGTATCAAATATGCATTCTTGGGTAAATTATTTACTCCCTCTGACTTTCTAGTTTTTCATCTGTAAAACGAAGATAATATTACCCACTTTAGAGTCTGCATGCAAATTGCTCGACACAGTATCCAACAGACAGTAATAAACAGACAGTATCCAACAGACACTTAATAAATGGTAGCAGCTGTTGCTACTACTCTTGCTAAAATCGAGGAATTCCGAGTGAACAACAACATCCCATTCTAATGAGACAATTTAATTCTAGAGCCACCTCAGATTTACAAGTATGTTATGATGGAGTAATTTCACAGCTTGGAACTTGTTCCCACACAGTTAAATTATGATAACATCTTCAGTGTTCAAAATATAAGAAATTGATTACATAATGTATGGTACTTGCCTTCAAAAGACACCATGCAACTACTAAATGTGATCTTGAAGAAAAATATTCAATGACTAAGTAAGAGGCATATAATGTGCTCTTAATTTAAAAAGCAATTTCCTAAACATTACATACATTTCATTATTTCATTTTTTGTATAAATATTTTCATAACAAAGTCCAGAAAGATATACATAAAATGTTACTGATTAGGATCTTTGATTGATAGAAGCATGAGTAAAATTAAATTTTTAAATTTATTTTCTCTACATTTTCTGCAATGAATATGTATTGCTTTTGCAATATAAAAAATGTAAGTTGTTAAAGAAAAGAGGTACAGGGGGATAAAACAATTTTTCTTGGTGACCTGATGTATGTATTTTGAAAAACAAAGAGGAAAACCCAGATTTTTTACATCTGGAGTCTACTAGAAATGTGATCCACATCAGATAATAAGAGAAGACTGTAGCAAGGCAATAACAAGAACATTCCAACCATCACAAGATGGTTTCAGGTTAGGATATTTAGCCATTTACCACACTCATATTAGAATCCAATATAATCTGTGAATTATGCTATGACCATTTCATGGATTATCAATCCATCCATTTTAAAAGTTGGTAGTTAGTTATTTGCACTTGGTAACTTCCAATATTAGAAGAGCTTACAAAATAACAGTCTGCCATCTTTAATTCTCCAGTGATCGTTTGTTTTATATATAACCCTCCATGTTTGGGGCAGCAAGCACAGAAACTGTCACTTAAACTAGAGGCACTGCCAGGAATCTGATTCACAAGTTCTGAGTCAGCTCTCCCCCCAATCTCTCAGTGTTTGTGACTCTGAGTAACAAAGTCTGCACTTAGTCTAATTAACTCCCCTTTACTCCTTTATTTTTTTTCCCTTTAGATAGAAAAGGCACTTTTGTGTTTTCTCACTCCATTTGCAGTGGATAAAAATGGATAGACTCTTACCTTTCTGTTTGTCTTGTGGACTGTAAGTGCCAAGTGGATGCAGGGTACTATTATCATTTCGCCTAGAGGTGGTTACAGCATTTTGACAGTTCTCAAAGCACGCCTTGGAAAATGCCCCACACTCTGCAGGATCCTAAGGGATGAAAATAAAAATTACATTTGCATTTTTAATATATTCCAACTTGGTCAGCTGATGCAAAATGAAAGAATGATCGATTTATGAATAGTCTTTCAAGAGTCTGTTGCACTTAAGTCCTCCAACTGTGGAATATCAAAATGGTCCTATCAGTGAAAACATCTTTGAGTATAAAATAAAAAGTACTGACAATGTGGGGCTAAGGATTAGGAGTGCTGATAGCCAACACAAAAGAGGATTAACTTTATTATTCTCTTTTCCCACTTACAACTGGCTTCTTTCAAATTTCCTTCCATCTGGGAGTACAGCTTGTGGCAGTGTCAACACAAGAATAGAGTTCATGCCAAGGGTGTTTCTCTGCCAACCAGCTGGTTCCCCTCCCTCTCTGCGCCTAAGTGCATATGCTCTAGGACAAGTCAGAACTCAAGCAGATTCACCGCTGAAATGCCACCAGTGTGTCCCTGTGCAGATGCTAGGTCTTTGGCCAGGAGCTAAACCAAACCGCTGTGACAATGCCAGACAGCAGTTCTCCTGAGGGTGCCCCCTGCCCCGGATTTCCCCTTCCTGTTTTGATTTTTACAGTCTGTAAACACATTCACAGTTTTTTGAAAACTGCTGTACCCAGAATAACACCCCTATGATCCATCTTCCACAGGTGCTGAAGGGGGACTCGGATGAGGCTGATTATAAAGAACTCTGAACTATTTTTTCAAGAAGATTGGGGCAAAGAGAATTGGGGTTTGCTCTTGTTTGTATTATTTGTCTTAGTAGCAGTTTTTTTCTTTTAGATGGAGTCTCACTGTGTCACCCTGGCTGGTGTGCAGGGGCAGGATCTCTGCTCATTCCAACCTCCGCCTCCCAGGTTCAAGCGATTCTTCTGCCTTAGCCTCTTGAGTAGCTGGGATTGCAGGCACCCAACACTACACCCAGCTAAGTTTCTGTAATTTTAGAAATTTACAGAAGTTTCTGTAAATTTAGTAGAGATGGAGTTTCACCATGTTGGCCAGGCTGGTCTGGAACTACTGACATGGTGATTCACCCAACTCGGCCTTCGAACATGCTGGGGTTAGAGGCGTGGACCACCACGCCAGGCCTTAATAATGGATTTTAACGAAGTAAATGATTTGGAAGCCATCTCATGGCTATTCCCTTGACCATTTGTGAGAAGAATGTGCCACAAACAGGAACACCCACCTGATCCCCAAAGCTCTTCTGAGAACAGCATATGGCTAAAACCATGCATTGGATTTATGTTTTCCTCTTTAGTTACAAAAATTCAATGTCTAGCTAGTCAAACAAAATATCTAAAACATTCCATTTTTGCATTCTTAGTAATTAAAATGTTTTCAGCAGCTGCAGGTCCTTTAGCTTTTTGTCAAGGCTTGTAACACTTTTCCCACACCCAATGTATTACCCTTTCTTCTGAACTGCTTGTCAAACTGAACCTGGTATAGGAGGCAAGCTCGTCCTAAATTAAAGCTGGAGATCTAGCAGGAAAGAGAGGTGGGACTTGCTTTGCACAGCCTTGTGCTTTAACAATAACAACAAAAACAAACAAAAATTTCTGCTTCCCCAGTTCGTTGATAAATGACACAATCGATATCCCAACAACTGATCAGTAACCAGCCTAATTAAAGTATTCAGCCTGTAAAATAGAGCTGTCGCAGAGCCCTCCATTAGTGTCCCAGCCAATAAAAAATATAATGGATTTTTAAACATATTCTGCTTCTGCCACGATAAGCTGGCAGCAGGGAGGGAAATGTTTTGGGGAAGGGAAAAACAAAATCAGGTCATAACCCATTTTTTAATACCAAGTCTCCAGGCTCAAATAGAATTACAATTGAACCTCAAGCTCATCCTCTGAAAAATATGTTTCTGTTTAAAATGATTTTGATTCAATCAAGGGCTCATTATGTATTCTTCACAAGGTCCTCATCAAAACTGTTTACATATCTTGTACATCTGGGTAATGTGGGAAAAACCCCCAACAACTATATATTTTGACTTTTCTTAAGTAGCTTCTTCAATTTTTGAAATATCAATGTATATAACGTTCAAGCAACCATTTTGGTAATCCTGGAAAATCCAACTAATTGATTTGCCTGAATGTATCAACAGTGCTGAGACCTTTTTCTAGGTTATAGATGTTTTTTTTATTGTACTAGAGAACACGTGCTGTTCCACCGGAGAATACAGCAAAAACATGAGCACACAAAATATGCTCTGACACAGTGAAACACAGATTTGCAGATCAAATAGTTGTTATTTTTTTAAATTTAATAAAGATAAACTGTACATTAGTCTTCTTTCTTTATAAGAAATAATGCTCTTTAATCTTTATGGGTACCTCAGAGATGCTCAGTAGCAGAGAGCCAAGTGCCTGCTCATTCCCCATGGAAAGCATGTAAATATTAGGGATCTTGTTTAAATGTCCTGATAAAAATTGCTTTTTGACCCAGTTCCTATTCTTGATCATTTCCCTGGTGATCTACATTAACAAGACACTTCTGAGGGTGGGCAACAAAAGAAAGTTTCATACTTTCCTCTGCTGGAATAATGCCAATCCACATCAGAGCATGAGAATTAAAATGAAAATACCTGAAGTAAAGGGGAATGCAAATGGTAAAGTGTGCTAGCTCGATGAGCCAAAATGTATAACACCAATCTGCTGGCATCTACGAACTCTTTTAGAACCACAGTCATTTTCTAACTTTTCCTGTCTGCACAGGTATGGTATGCTATAGCAGTCTCTTCTAGGCTCTTCTATTAGTTGAGGTATCTTTGTTTAAAAAGTTTGAAGGGAGATCTGATATGCAGATGCGCAGAAGGGATGACTGAGGCGCTCACAGTCCATCCTTTCGACTCACTTCAATAAATGGGTTCCGTGGAGTCCTAGCGCTCTAGAGTAATGACCATCCTAAACCAGATGGGATCAATTCTCTCAGGACAGGAAGTGGCAGATAAGGATGTTACAACTAGGTACAGAAGTGAAGCCCATTAAATATTTATGGAACACTGTCACTTAAGCAGACGCAAATGTTGAAAATGAGTTCATTATATTTAGTCTCTAGTAATTGGACAATTTAAATTTATATAACATCTACAAGGCTATATAAAGGAGAGTATAAAAGGTACAGTTGCTCCTTTCCAGTGGCTGATAATGGAACGAGGTAAGATATAGTTTTAACGTTACTACTTAAGTTTACTCTCACATCTGAGATGAAGTAGTCTCAGATGTGACATTTTCATTCACTCAATATTTATTAAGAAAATACTACATGCAGGAACCAAGGACGCATTAAGGGATAAAACAGACAACAATATCTGTCACTGTGAATACTGAGCACTCAATTATGCATGTACTTACATAGCCAGGAAATGGTAAACCTAGGATTGTAACCCAAGCAATTTGAAACTCCAGAGATGAAGCTTTTAACTACAATGAGCCCCACTACCATTTACCCTTGATTAACTTAATAAAGCTTATTTTTAAATTTTTAAGTTGAACTCATTATTAAAACTAGTATTTTATATTAGTTTTAAAATCGTTTTCTTTTACTGTGCATATTATTGTATTACACAAACACAATTTGGCCTTAGAGAATATCCTGATATAATAAAATGTGTGATTTGCTGATGTTTTTCTTCACTTTTAGTACTATCAACTTTTTCTTCTTACCTTTTTCTAATATTATTTTAGGAACATTTAATAATTACTCTTCATATATAAGAGAAAATGTTTTAGGTATTTTTATGTTTATATGTATAATGTTAGGAATATTATTATTAAAGCTATCCTACACTTAAGACTCCATATGTAAGTGAAAATATTCTTGATATTTTTAAAAACTTATAAAAATCATAATAAAAGATTTCAAAAAACAAAACTCCCATTTATTTAATAACACAAGCAAGCAGCTCATTTAATAAATCAAATGTTAACGTTAGTTAAGTCTCAGGTCCATATTATTCATATGCAGATTATAGAAGAGCATACAGAGAGCTGATTGCATTATAATGAGCTTCACATTAAACATTGTACACATCTGATTAGACACTTTCTAAGATATGGACATTGCTAGCATATCAACCAAAAAACTATATAAAGATGTTTATGAACAAGTTAGAGCTCTTGAAATTTCTGGGGGAAAAGGTAGAAATTATAGACCTGTTACTTTTGATAAACGACTTACTTTATATGCATATTTTTACACCTTTTCATTATACCCAAAATATACAACCACCTGTTCCCCACACAAATCCATCAAAGCCCTTCTGGGGCATATTTTCCCTGTTGGAAAATCAGTATGAATCTAGCTGCCATACTAGGAACGGAAGTCTGCATATTCTGGTGGCAATTTGGGCAACTTGCTTGGGAGAGTCAAGATTTGCCTCACCTCCACTGGTCTCTCTGGCCTCCTCAGAATCACCAGCTGGATCATCCCTCGTATGTTTCCCTCCATGGACATTGACCGCCTAAGTGTTTCCATAGCTTCGTTGTTGGATTTTCCCAGAAGAGATTCCCCATTAACTGCAATCAGCTGGTCATTCATTCGCAGACGACCATCCTAAGGCAGCAGAAAGAAAAAAAGCATTCAGCAGGGGAAACTACCGTGATGACATGTGGTGTTTGGGGAAAAAAGTTCAAGTTGAAAAATGAGAAAAAAAATAAAAGACAAAAAACCCCAGCTGTTAGAAGTGATTTATTTTCCATGGCAGAAAAAGGTTCTGGAGCTTATCAAATAGTCACAAATACCAATAATAATGAATTGTGTGAAAGTATTTTTAGAAATCTTAGAGTCCTGAGCTGCAATAATTTAGACATTTGTGTAATGCCTCTTCCCTAATTCTTTGGCAAGCATGCAAATCTGACCTGATTCTGCCATTTGCTCCAGCAGAGACCATGATGTGGACTCAAGGGAAGGGGGTTTGGAAACCAAAGGAGGTAGTCATGACTCTTGAAATGAGAATTTGCCTTTTCAGACACAGAGAGACATCGTACATAAATGCTGTATGTTTGACAGTGGTAACATGTGTCCTCATATCATTGCTAGCTCTATTGAACAATGCTAAAAAAAAAAATCACGTATTTTATCTAACACAACCACAGAGTTGCTTGTCTGCAAAAGCACACAGAGGTGTGTAGAAAAGGATCAGTTTGCCCTGATATATTATGGTGGAAAAGCCTGACATAAAGAATTGTCAAGGTTTTTTTCGAGGAGGCTCTGACAGATGAGTACTTTCACCCAGCATCTTCAGGAAGAAATACCACTTACTACAAAGTACAAAGAACCTTGGCATATGAATAGGCAGCTCAGACTGCCATCTCATTCACTTCTCAGTGAGTGAGGCGCTGACCATTTCCAGCCAGGAGTCCCTCACAAGCACAGGCCTAGAGCAGTAGCTGACATACTGGGATGGCTGCTCTGCCTAGAAAAGAACTTGAAGGGACCACGGTGCATTTCCCCAAAGGCAGCTCCAGAGCAAAGACTCTTGAAATGTTGACAGTCAGGCTCGGGGGACATGCTCTCTACCTATTCTACACTGAGGTAGAAAGTTCTTGCTGTGAGGCCCAGCTGTGATTAGGAATGTCATCATACTGCTGCTGCTAATAAAGTTAACAGAAATAACAGTAGGTGTGTATAACAGTTTACTCTTACAGAGGATTCTTCCATAAATTACCTTTAGTGATTCTCAAAGAACCCAAGAATTGAAGTAGATTTGTATTTTCATAAACATTTTACAGAAAAGGAAACTGAGGCAAAAAATGTAACTTGTTCTAGGCTACAAAAGTGAGTCAAAGGATTTCATGAATCTTGACTCTTTAGTTCTCCCACTACAAACCCCTTGGTTTCTTGTCTCTAGACTACAGCTATGCAACACTAAAATAGGGAAAGGAAAATACTAAAGAGTTCTTGCGGTGAGAAGTATCTGGGATTTGTGGTCAAAGTACCAGAATGAAATGGAAAAGAAAAAAACCTTCCTAAGAAATGAGATAGCCAGACACACACAATGAACAATAGAAACCAACCAGACAGCTTTGGGTGAGGAACTATGTGGACGGGTTGTTAAACTTGGGCTAATGTAGCAGACGGCCTGAGGAAGTGCCTCTGCTGATGGCAGAGAAAAGAAAGCCTGGTGAGAGCTGTTGTTCCCCAGAGCGAACGCCCTCATGAAGACGCACTGCCCACGCCACCTGCTGGAGAGGGCGTTAGCTACCTGGGTGGGATTGCAGAGGCCCCCCCCAGTAGGAGGACACACCCACTCAGGTAAGAAATGGAGACGGCAGGGCAATGGGATCAATAGACAAGGGCCTCAAGTCAGAGATGTAAACCGTTTAAGTGACCGCCTCCTCAGAGCTGAATGTCCCCTGCCTTCCTCTTGTTTTCCCACTTCACTTAACCTTTACCCTAATTTGGAGCAAGTCTGGAAATGAGATTTACAGGAAAGGCCAAACAAGAAAGAAATCTCTTCATTTCTGTTATCCAATTTTGAGTGAGGCACAAAAAAGAATAAGGCTACATAAAATGGGATACGCCAGGTCGGGCGTGGTGGCTCATGCCTGTAATCCCAGCACTTTGGGAGGCTGAGGTGGGCAGATCACCTGGGGCTGGGGATTCGAGACCAGCCTGACTACCATGGAGAAACCCCATCTCTACTAAAAATACAAAATTAGCCGGGCATGGTGGTGCATGCCTGTAATCCCAGCTACTCAGGAGGCTGAGGCAGGAGAATCACTTGAACCCAGGAGGTGGAGCTTGCAGTGAGCCAAGATCATGCCATTGTACTCCAGCCTGGACAACAAGAAAGAAAATCTTGTTTCCCTCTAAGAAGAAAAAGAAAAAAAAAAAAAAAAAAAACACCCTTAATAGTTTGGTTACGTGAAGTGAGATACAACTTGAGAAATTATTCTGTTCTATTGTCATATGAGAAAGGAGCACTATTGGGCTGAATCTTGTTACTAAAAATCTTTTTAGGATGACTGGAGACTGATGTTTGGTTTTGAAAGAGGAGGAGGAATCAGAAGAGTTGAATCGAGGAAATGAGGTTAGCAGGAAATGTTCAGATTTTGCAGTGCTTTGTCTTTGCAGGACACCTCGTCTGCTATGACAGGAAGAAACAGGATAAAGATGGAAGTTTTACGGGTACCTCTACAGATGGAAGGAAGGAAATATGAGTGAGATCCCACCTGGTAATCTCTTGCCAACCTTTTCTGTGAAGTATAAGACAAGATCAGAGTAAAGAGGCAGGCAACAGACAAGAAGATAGGAGATCATTATTTTTTGGTAAAATCAACAGTTATTAAGCACAAACTTATTTTATTTGTTTTTGTTTTCAGCTACATTCTAAGTCTCAAGCATGCAGAATGACACTGAAGTAAGACATGTTTCCTGTAACCAAGTCCCAAACAAAAAGACAGTTCAGGTCACCTCAGGGCAGCTGAAATTTTTTTTCAAAGACATTCACATTCATCATAAGCCTCACCAGAGAGTTGTGGGCACAATAAAAATCCACGCGCTCTCATTTTCAGGGTTGGCTGGTCTGTTGTTATTGGTGTTTGCTTTTTCTTTGTAAGATAAACGATGTGTAATTTCATTAATGGTGATGCCAGTAAGCACCATGTTGTCCTAACATTTAGAATATAATCACAGAATTTAGAGCTGGAGGGTCCTTAGAGGTCATCTTGTCCAACCTCTTCTGTTTACAGATGAATAATGTGATGCTCAGAGAGGATGAGAAACCATTTATCGAACACCTATTAGGAAAAGGCACTTCCACCGATACTAGACTTGCTCAGCTAGTGAAGGTCAGAGTTGGAACAGAATAGCCCAAGTCCTGAATTCTACAGTGTTCCCTATTCTATCTTATTTAGAAGATAGAACAGTTCTATCTTATGTGGAAGATAAGTCCCAAACAAAAAGAGAGTTCACCAATAACAATATCTTATGTAGAAGATAGAGCCAGCCTGTCTTCTACATAAATGACAATGACTAGTCCCTAAAGGGGTAATGCTTCAGGAAAAGACTTTCAAAACCGGAGAGAACAATATGCTGCCAGATGTCTCCTGGAAGGGAATACAATATAAAATCCAGACACACAACAGAAGACGTAAAGACAGGAAACATGAAACATCCATACATGCACGTCTATGTCCAGTCTTGACCTAAAATGAAGTTGATTCAATGAAGAGCTCATTCAAAAATTCATCAAATCTCTCCCAAAATTGTATATGTCCCATTTGCTTTGGAATAATTTGGACAAAGAAAATTAGCTTTTTATGGTTTTTAAAATTAATATTATATTCTAGTAAATATTTAGGCATGAGAATATTAACTTTCAATTGACTTTACATAAATGAATTCAAAAATTTAAGGATATTATTTGGTAATTCTAGGATATTTATTTCATCTTCGTCATGCTTCCAATATTCTATCACACTTACACAGTCTCACACAAACACAAACACACACCTCGCTCTCTCTCTCTCTCTCTCTCTCTCACTCCCTTCCTCCCTCCCTTTCCTTTTTCTTCCTGTATTACTCCCATCCAACTTCTAAACAAAAAGACTTCAATTATGTTTCCTGCTTCTGGCGCCACTGCCACCTATAACCAACGCTATCCATCCTCAAGCTAGAAGAAGTAAAGGAAATTCCCAAAGGGAAGACAAACATATTAAAAATAATCAGGAGAAAAGAGTAAAGACAAAATGTAACTTCCTCAATGTGCTTCAGAACAAAAAAACCCGGTACGAGATTAGGTCTTCTCCATGTCCTGGCCTGGTTTCAGTCTCATCATCTTTCACTGGTCCTATCACAGTAGGACACACAGTGGACAAGGAGACAAACATTTGAGTATGACATCTTTGTTTTACTGAGCATCTAATATACGCTAGTTCTTGTGCATGTCTTTTGCATATATTTGCCCATTCACTTCTTAGCTTCCGAGATTGGACGCCTTCAGGTGGGTACGGCTATAGACACCAGGCTTTGCCCATTCATTTCTTAGAGCAACTCTGTGGTACACAAAAATGCTACTTTCTACTATTTAGGAGATGTAAAGATGAAGGCTCAGAGAAATTAAGTGACTTGTCAAAGAGTATGGTCCTAGCCAGGTCTCCTCGACTCTAAAGCTAAGGACACAAATGCTTTATGCTGTGTTGCTTCTAAATTCAGACTTCTGAGATTATTAAGGCACTATATTAATGACAATGATTTTCCACTCTGTGCATCATGCTAAAACCCTTTATATGTAATAGACAATTGACTCCTTAGAGACACCCTGTAGATTTGAGATTGCCTGCCCCATTTTATTAAAGAAGAAATTGCAGTCAGAGAGGTTAAATAAATTGTTACAAGTCACGTTTCTAAAAACAGATTTGAACTAGGTCTGGGTCACTCTGCAACCCATGCTTTCAAATAGTCTGCTAGTGATTCTTAACCTTAGGGGCTCTTAGACTCCTTTGAGAGCCTAATAAAAGCTACAGATCCTCATTTTTAAAAAAATATTTACACCAGGGTCCTTCCACAATTGTATATGTACACAATTGTACATAATTTTTTGGAGTAAG